TGGTTGTTGTATTGTGTTCCCATCAGTACTACTAACACAACACTAATCAACATAGAAAAGCCACGAAAGGGGTGTAGATTGCAGAAATTGTAATCTAAAAGGAATCATATTCTAACCAAATGAATCCCTATGTCAACCAAGAGCCTTAAAACGTGATAAAAAATCTACACATGTGGCAACATCTTACTACTACTACGACTATCATCATTATCGACTATTTGTATAGTTTTCGCATGACAACCGGGTGACCATCAATAACATGGGGATTGTTAATAGGTTGAAGGACGGTTTCAACGGCCTCATTAGTGGCAAAAGTGGCGAACCCAAAACACTTACTCACTCGCGTTCGACGATCCGTAATAACCACAGCTCCCCGAAGACTGAACATGGGAAATCGTAATGTAAAATAAGCCTCAAGGCTTGCACTCGTCGTGTCGCGAGATAAACGAGTACTTTGTTCCTAGCCTGCCTCTCAGCCAACCTGTACGTATTAACTCCATCACGCGGTGGTATGACAGACTGCGGTGACGCCGCACTATTAATCACCAATCGGTTACCACCACCACGACGACGACGATCAGGCAATGGGAAAGGGAGTAGTGATCACAACCAAGTCTTTAGAGGCAAAAAGCATAGGCCTGAATTCTTCTCATTAACGGGACTATCACGATAGTGCTTGATATTAGCCTTGGATACGAGCCCATGCTACTCCACACTGTTTGTTAGAGCGCATAAAATGTGCACACACCTCTGGAGTGATCACAGTAGCTCTCGAGCCACTTTTGTTATCCCGATACAGCCCAGATGAGTTTGCTTTGGCAACTGTATGAGCTAATAATACACCTGCTATTTTCAATCGAAACCTAATAGCAGTTTCGTGAGAAGTGAAATTGATAAAAGCATAGCCCAAACTGCTTACAGACTTGAAATCAATCGGTGAATATAAAAAATCGAAATCACCAAAAAAACCCTCGTGCTTCACGGCGTTGGCGATGTCAATTTGAGTGAGCTTATTGGGAATATTACGTAACATAACTGTTGTCAACATGTCAGGTGGGAGACCATCAAAATTTGATCGATGAGCCTACCGGTTAGTTTTGTACTGCTTTCGAGACGAGGGTTACGAGTAGCTACCCTGTCGATAGAACGAGTCAGAGCTAGATCAATGCCTTCAGCGAGCGCTGGCGAATGTGGAGGAGTATGATGATTCGCATTGAGATCAAGGGTACCAGCAGTGCCACTATTCTTAAGAGTCTCGTGAGCATATTGGAACGACTCAGCATCGCAAACTGGATTCTCCATTATAGGGAAACCCAGCAGCAAGTTGAAGGTTGATACTTTTCTATTCACCACAACTCCGAGTAACGCAAGTGTTGTTGTAAGTAAGAGCAACGTGTACGCTGGACGATATCATTGCTGTAGTGTGAAATAAGAGATAAGTGAAATGGTTATGTATTATTCGTGGACAAAGTCTCGATCGAATATCAAATAAGTCCTTCTCCATCACGCCATAAGACGTCGTCACTTAACCTATTTTGAATCTTACCGCCTCATCCTCAAGATACCTCAATACGGTTCGTCCATCCAGTCAATGAGCTGCAGCGTTACACTGATCTCCGAGTACTTGAACGCCTGCACAATCCCACTGTCACCAGTGCCACCATCTGAATTCCGACCAGTTGAGGGATAGAAATCAACATGGAATTTGTTGCCCATGAGGACTTTCTTCCCACTGTTCACCTTACCAAGACTCACAGTAAAGCGCATACACGCTCCTTGGGGACAGACGAGACCAACTGCTACACACCCTGGAGGGGACTTGCCCTTCACCCCAAAGGGATAGAACTCCAGTTGAATAGGAGGACCAGGTTCACCATTATTTCTAGGGAGTCTGAATGTTATACTAGGCACCCCTTCCCCCGGAATCACAGACTTCAACTTCTCACTGACGGCTCCGAGTTTCCATGTAACCCTCCTAGCACGAGTATTAACGAATACTCCTTGTTGCCTTTCAGCGTTCTTAAAGAGATCATCAATAGCAGAAACCGAACCCCGCTTGGTGATATTCATTTGTCTAGCAGTGGCAGTAGTGGTGAGGGCAGGAGCAAATGGGGTCTCTCCTTGAACAGTGTGACGCCTCGGAATGAACACCGGAGCATCAGCTGACATTCTTCTTGAAGACAACGTAGTAGAATGCCTGAGAACAGATAACAAATACTATTATTATCAACCACAACGGTAGCTCACTTGGTATTGTCAGTTGTAGTAGCCGCGAAACTGATCCTTCTATCGCTACCAAGAGCAGTACTTGACCTCGAGAGCTCAGCCGGGAGGAAACTCGAGTCATCGGTGTTATCACTGATAGGACCAGCAGGTGCCGGTAAGAGTCCATCGCCACTTTGAGCTGCCAGTAGCTGAGCCTGTGCACTCGCCAACATACTAGCGAACGCGATACGTTGATGAGCTGCAGCCGAGCCAGCTCTCTCTCTGTTACGACGACTCAAGCCGCCGCCACCGCCGCTGGGCTCCTCTTGAGAACAGACGGCTGCTGCGGCTGCTGCTGCTGTTGCCACCACTGGTTTAACGCTCATCGTGTAAGTCGGAGTGAACGTATTACTCATAGTCTTGAGCTCCCACTTGAAACCGTTAGCAGAGTTCCTCTCCTTCCCTAGCACGCAGCGTGCCAAGATATCTATGCTATCACTGAGCTTACCAACAACCCAACCAACAGCACCCTCGTTGGGACCTAGTTCAGGAAGGCCTTCACCATAGCACATAACAACATCATCGCACTTGTGTTTGAAATAACAGAATTTCCATTTCTCCAAAGCCTTACTAGCGGAGGCTTTGAGCACATAGCAACCATTGATCTCATCAGCATGAGGCCCCGTCGCACCCTCCAACTGGATGTGGCTGGGGAATGGTACGGGAGTAGTTGTGGGTAACGGTTGGAAGGGGGCAGAGGTGGCCGTTTTACCACCACTATTAGAGGCGGCATCGAGACTAGTGCTTTGAGGCGGAAAGGCTACCTTCTCTTCAGCTGGAGGGGAACCAGCAACAAGCATTTTCAACTATGCAATTGGATAAGGATTTAGGGCGCGCGCTTTCTCTACTGGTACGCAGCCACCCCCACCACATAGTGGAACTTAGAACATGACTACTTCGAGGTAGCTATAGTTCACTAACTGTAGCCATCTAACGTCAGGCTTCCCTCCTCCTCCTCTGCCTCGCGTTAGCCATTGTCGACGTCATCGTCCTCATCGCAACCCCACACCTAGGGTCCTACCGCGGCACCCATCCAAACTCAATCTTGCTATCTCGAAATTCCACGATCTTCTTTAGCGGAGCGAAGCGACTCATGTATTACATTTTCATATTTCCTGTCTACCTTTTGGAAATTTTCTTTGAGGTGGCTAGGTGTCGGCCGAAAAGTTAGAAAAACTCCTAGGGTTGGTTTCAACTGCTATAATGTGATATTGGGAATCTCTACTTCACGTAAAATACGGCGTAAAAATCAATTTCAAAATCGATTTTCTTGCGATGATAGCAATGTAGTAGTAGTAGTAGTAGTAGTAGTAGTAGTAGTAGTAGTAGTAGTAGTAGCAGTAGTAGTAGTAGTAGTAGTAGTAGTAGCGTATTGGTATGCAATGAAGTCACTACTGTATTTCAACTAGGATTGGATGTGTTCCCCAGCTGAGCTCTGTGTTGTGAATTTTGAAATATGTTTTTCATATCACTAGGGTGAAACTCCATTGTAGCGTTTAGCCCAATCATAATGCCTACATTACATCGTGGATCTACAAAGCGAGTAGATCCCATCATAGCTACCTCCTGTTCGCGTGGTTCCGACAGCTCAGCCCAGCTAGAAGTAATCGCAAGGACGTTTACATGGAGTCACGACTCCAGGGGCCTGTACGACTACGAGGCGAAGAGTGTTTACAAGAGGAATTATCGGGCAAAAATGTGCGATAATGGTTTTGTTATTACTCGTACGGACTGCGAGATTGATATGATTCCAGCATCTATGTGTGATGCAGAGGAAGAAGTAACATCACCAATGGGGAGTGCGGCAACAGTAGCAGCTGGTTTTGAGTCTTCGGGAGTAAGCGTTATAGGGGAACAGCATAGTGCGGCAAAAACGAAAAAAATTTTGAGGTTGTTTGAAAATGATGGTGAATATTTCGTGGAGAGAACACAACCGCAGTGTGAGGATAGCAGTAGCGATTCTAGTGGCACGGGGAGTCGTAAAGTGTCGAAGTTATGGGAGGTGATACGCCATAGTAAAGGCTCTGGCAGACCACTTGTCGAGGGGGATGTATTGAAACTTGGCAGATTCAAAATCAAAGTGAAGGAAATTGTGACTACTCCTGAAGAGGCTCGGGAGAGGGAAAATGAGGCGGAGCGAAGCGGCAGAGATTTTAGTGAAGATAGGGCTAGTGCTTTGACGGTCAGCACTGAGTTCAAGGATGTTGATGATGATTCTGAAGAGGCTCTACCGCTGAGTGAAAAAGTTTGCCGTATTTGTTATGAAGCCGGGGAGAAAGAGAACCCTCTGGTGGCGCCTTGTACGTGTAAGGGAAGTATGAAATTTATTCATTTGAATTGCCTGAGGCAGTGGATGGACGGACGACTGTGTTTGCGGGAAGACCCTTGTGGAAGCTCTGGAGGTGGACGACAGGGCGGACCCCTCGCGAACAGCTACTTTTGGCGCAGTCTCGATTGTGAGTTGTGTAAAACGTCGTACCCTAGCGTTGTTGAGATCCCCGTTGAAAGCGGCAAAGTGCGACGAGTGGATCTATACGAGCTCCCGAGGCCAGCGCCACCGTATATAATTTTGGAGTCTCGAATAAAACATCACTCGAGGAGGTCGGGCCAGCAACAACAGAGCAGTGCGGAGGTGCCGAGGAAAGGCTTGCATATCATGTCCTTGGGAGGCAATCCGAGGAGTGTTATACGTGTGGGGAGAGGCCACGATGCTGATGTGAGAATCAACGATATTTCTGTTAGTCGCTGCCATGCTTTGATACGGCTGATCCCGGGAGGCCGTGGAAAAAGGCCGTATTTCGTTATCGAGGATCAGAAATCGAAATTCGGAACGCTGGTGGAGGCGCCAAACCCGATGCGAGTTGAAGTGGCGGGAGGAATATTCAGAGATTTGAATACTTCTTATAAGGGTAGTGGTCCTAAGCCGATTGAAGGGTGTCTCACGCTACAAAAAGGAAGGAGTGTGATACAACTGCAGTTAAGAAAACCGAATTTTCTGCAGAAAATGTTGTCATGCGGAGGTGCTAGAGTTGGCGGAGGAGGAGTACCGGGAAAAGTCTTTTGTACGTTGTCATCATCGCCGGCAACTTCGTCGGCGAACGGTGGGCCTATGGTCGTAACAAGAGGGCCTTCGAGGGAGGGAAGAACGGTAGGAGGGGGGAATTGAACCTGGGTCGTGGGATGGGGAGGCAGGCCGCTCCCTTGTTGGTGTGGGGGGAGGAATATGCATGTGGTTAACTACATGTGTTGGTGATGACAATATGGAGGTTTTGGTGATTTCTGTACACTTCTATACCCAAATTTGTGTATAATGTAGCTTTGGAAATTCACAAGCTTAGGTGAAGAAAGCGAACATATATTCCTACTCCAACACCGCTTCGTGCTATTGTTATTCTACCAGGTCTTTCTACGACCCAATTTACTATGCAGAGAATGACTTCATATCTTCTTGTGACCACATTCGGGCCTATTCTGAATCTTTGCTTGGTATAGGCTAAGATACCACACCACGTGCAGGTACAAGATCGA